CTCCTTTTCCCCTTTCCTCCTCCCTTTTTTCCCCTTTTCCCCTTCTCTTTCCCTTTCCTCTCTTCCTTCCTTCCTTTTTCCTTCCCTCCTTTTCTTCCCTTTTCCCTTCTTTTTGCCATCTCCCTTTCCCACCTTTTTTTCCGTGTTCTCTCCTTTTATTTTTCTTAACTTTTTCTTTTTTCACAGTCCCCTTTCCTTTTTTCCCCCCCTTTTCCTCCCTTTCTCCTCAATTTTTCCCTTTTATTTTGCTCACCCCCACCTTTCACATTTCACTTTTCCCCCCTGACACCCCAAATTTCCCTTTTCCCGCTCAGCCTTCCGCCGCTCCCCGCGGCTTTACAGCGGCACCGGCACCGGCACCGGGCGCACCCGGAGCGTCCCCTCTTCCCCTTGGGACACAAACGGGAAAAAATTCCCCGCGGGATCCTCCCCGGCCCCCAGCGGGATCCCGGCCACCAGAACCTTCTGCTCCACATCGTAAAATTCCAGCTGTGCCTTGTCCCGGTTCAGGAACACTCCGAGCACGGCGAGCCCCGGCCGCTGCTCCCCGCAGGCGCGGCCGCCGCTGGACACGAGCTGTCCTTGGGATGCGCGCAGAGCGCAGAGCCCGTCCCGGGGATTTGGGGGATTTTGGGGATTTTGGGGATCACGGGAATGCTGCTCGGGAAGGGCCCGCAGAACCCCCAGCACCCAGCTCGGCTCCCGGCCCAGTTCCACCTCCCAGTAGCGATTCCCGGCTCCCAGCGCGTCCCGCGCCACCAGCGCCGGCACCGGGAGCGGCTCCTGCGCGTCCCCGACATCCAGGGGCCGCGCCTCGGGATCCAGCGCCACGGGAACTGCGGGGACGGGAAGGATCCCGTGAGGGACTGGGACATTCCCGGGGATTGAGGGGCTGCAGAATCTCCGAATCCCCCAAATCACAGAAACCCTGAATCCCCAAAATCACAGAAATCCCGAACCCCCACATTCCAGAATCCCCGAATCCCCAAAATCACAGAAACCCTGAATCCCCAAAATCACAGAAATCCCGAATCCTAAAAATCACAGAATCCCCGAATCCCCAAAATCACAGAAAACCCGAACCCCCACATTCCAGAATCCCCGAATCCCCAAAATCACAGAAACCCTGAATCCCCAAAATCACAGAATCCCCGAATCCCCAAAATCACAGAAACCCTGAATCCCCCAAATGACAGAAACCCTGAATCCCCAAAATCACAGAATCCCCGAATCCCCAAAATCACAGAAAACCCGAACCCCCACATTCCAGAACCCCTGAATCCCCAAAATCACAGAAACCCTGAATTCCCCAAATCACAGAATCCCAGAATCCTCAAAATCACAGAACCCCTGAATCCCCAAATCACAAAACCCCCAAATCCCTGAACCCCTAAATCCACGAATCCCAGAATCCCCAAATCCACAAATCCCAGAATCCCTGGATCCCCAAATCCCCCCAAAACAGAAACCCCAAACCCCAGAATCTCCAAATTCCCTGAATCCCTGGATCACAAAATCTCCAAGTCACAGAAACCTCAAATCCCAGAATCTCAAAATCCACAGATCCCAGAATCCCATGATCCCAAAATCCAGAAATCACAGAAACCTCAAATCATTGAATCCCAGAATTGCAAAATCCCCAAATCCCGGAATCCCAAAATCCCAAAACCCCGGAATCCCTGAATCCCAAAATCCCCAAATCACAGAAACCCCAAATCTTTGAATCCCAGAATTGCAAAATCCCCAAATCCTGTAATCCCTGAACCCCAAAATCCCCAAATCACAGAAACCCCGAATCCTGGAATCCCAGAAACCTTGAATCCCCAAATCTCGGAATCCCTGAATCCCAAAATCCCCAAATCACAGAAACCTCAAGTCCCAGAATCCCCAAATCCACAAATCCCAGAATCTCTGGTTCCCAAAATCCCTAAATCACAGAAACCCCAAATCCTGAAATCACAGAATCCCCAAATCCACAAATTCTGGAATCTTCGAATCCCAAGATCTACAAATCCCAGGATCCCTGATCCCCAATCACAGAAATCCCAAATCCCAGAATCCCCAAATCCACAAATCCCTGAAATCCCAAATCCACAAATCCCAGAATCCCTGGTTCCCAAAATCCCCAAATCACAGAAACCCTGAATCCCACAATACCAGAATCCCAAGGTCAGAGAAACCCCATAATACCTGAACCCCCAAATTCTGGAATCCCAGAATCCCCAAATCCACAAATCCCTGAAATCCCTGAATCCCCAAATCACAAAAACCCCGAATCCTGGAATCCCAGAATCCCAAGATCCACAAATCCTGGAATCCCTGATCCCCCAAATCCCCAAATCACAGAAATTCCAAATCCGGGAATCCCTGGTTCCCAAAATCCCCAAATCACAGAAACCCCAAATCCCTGAATCACAAAACCCCCAAATCCACAAATCCTGTAATACCTGAATCCTTGAATCCCCCCAATCACAGAACCCCCAAATCCTGGAATCCCAGAAACCCCGAATCCCTAAATCCCGGAATCTCTGAATCCCAAAATCCCCAAATCACAGAAATCCCAAATCCCAAAATCTCAAAATCCACAAATCCCATAATACCTGAATCCCCAAATAACAGAAACCCCGAATCCTGGAATCCCAAAACCACCAAATCCCAGAATCCCAGAGCTCCTGGGATGCTTCCACAAGGAATTCAAACATTCCACAGAATATGGGATGTGGCCACTGAGGAACCGAGGGACCACCAAACCCCTGAATCCCCAAATTCCCGAACCCCCAAATCCCCGAATCCCCAAACCCCTGAATCCCCAAATCCCTGAACCCCCAAATCCCCGAATCCCCAAATCCCTGAATCTCCAAATTCCTGAACCCCCAAATCCCTGAATCCCCAAACCCCCGAATCCCCAAATTCCAGAACCCCCAAATCACTGAATCCCCAAATTCCCGAATTCCTGAATCCCCAATTCCCGAACCCCCAAACCCCTGAATCCCCAAACCCTTGAATTCCCAAATTCAAGAACCCCCAAATCCCTGAATCCCCAAATTCCCAAATCCCTGAATCCCCAAATTCCCGAATTCCCGAATCCCTGAATTCCCTAATTCTGGAATCCCCAAATTCCCAAATCCTTGAATCCCCAAATTCCCGGACTCCCCAAATCCCTGAATCCTCAAATTCCCAAATCCCCGGATCCCCGAACCCCCAAATTCCCGAACCCCAAAATCTCTGAATTCCCAATTCCATGAATTCCCAAATTCCCGAACCCACAAATCCCTGAATCCCCAAATTCCCGAATCCCTGAATTCCCAAATTCCCGAATCCCCGAATTCCCAAATTCCCAAATCCCCGGATCCCCAAATTCCCCAACCCCCAAACCCCGAATCCCCAAATTCTGGAATTCCCGAATCCCTGAATCCCCAAATTCTGGAATTCCCGAATCCCTGAATTCCCAAATCCCACAATCCCGGATCCCCGGCTTGCTCGGGCTCACCCGCGTGGCTCCGCGCTTCCCAGAAATCTACGGGAAAAATAAAAAAAAACCCGGGAATTCCGGTTTTCATGTGTGAATTCCATATTTCCCCCCCCGAATTCCCATTTAATCCCCCCAGAATCCCAGGAATTTTTGGATTTTCCGTGCTTACCCAGCTCGGCTTTCAGCTGACCTGAAAGGAAAAGATGTTCCCGTCATTTTTGTTGGATTTTCCCAATTTCCCCCCAAATTTTTCCCATCAGAACAATTCCCGGGTGTGGAATAACGGGAAATTCCTGTCCCGGGATGAATTAGCTCCAAATTCCAGGGATATCGTGGATAAAAACCAGAATTCCCCTTTTATTTTTCATAAATTTCGGGGGGAAATGTGAATTTAGGGAATTTGAGTTTTCTTACCGAAGTGTTTCTTGAATTCGATTTTCGCTGGAAAGGAAAAGCAGGGAATGAGTGATGGGAAAAATTCCATGGAAAATTGGAAATATCGGCGGGAAAGGCATGGGGGGAAAAGGGGGGAAAAAAGGGGATAAAAAAGGGGGATAAAGGGGGAAAAAAGGGGAAAAAAGGGGATAAAAAGGGGGGATAAAAAATGGGGATAAAGGGGGAAAAAAGAGGAAAAAAAGGGGGAAAAGGGGGATAAAAAAGGGGGATAAAGGGGGAAAAAAGGGGGAAAAAAAGGGGGAGAAACGGGGAAAAAATTGGGAGGAAATGGAATTTACCTGCGCGTTTCTTGGCTTTTTCTTCATCTGGGAATTCCGGACGTGGAATCAAAGGAATGGCAGGGAGAAATATTAATTTAATAATACTTAATAATGGTTATTAATAGTGCTCGTTAATATTTGTTATTGATGCTGTTTGTAGGTTCTTGTCCAAAGGGAAGGGAAAAGGGGAAAAATGGGGGAAAATGGGGGAAAATGGGGGGAAATGGGGAAAATGGGGAAAAATGGGGAAAATGGGGGAAAATGGGGAAAAATGGGGGGAAACTGGAAAAAGGAGAGGGAAGGGGGAAAGGGAAAAAAGGGAAAAAAAAGAAAAAAGGGGAAAAAGGGAAAAATGGGAAAAAGGGAAAAAAGGGAAAAAAGGTGAAAAGGAATAAAAGGGGAAAAGGAGGAAAAGGGAAAAAAGAGATAAAAGGGGAAAAAGGGGGAAAAGGGGGGAAAGGAGAAAAAGGGAAAAAAGAGATTAAAGGGAAAAAGGGGAAAAAGGGAAAAAGGGGAAAAAGGGAAAAATGGAAAAAAGGGGAAAAGGGGAAAATGGGGGAAAAAGGAAAAAAGGGGGGAAGGGATAAAAGGGAAAAATGGGAATAGGGGAGAAAGGGGAAATGGGGAAAAAAGGAAAAAAGGGGGAAAGGGATAAAAGGGATAAAAGGGGAAAAAGGGAAAAGGGAAAAAAGGAGAAAATGGGAAAAAAGGAAAAATGGAGAAAAGGGGGAAAAGGGATAAAAGGGAAAAATGGAAAAAGGGAAAAATGGGGAAAAGGGATAAAAGGGAAAAATGGGGAAAAGGGGGGAAAAGGGGGAAAAAAGGGAAAATGGGGGAAAAAAGGAAAAAAAGAGGGAAACGGAAAAATGGGAAAAATGGGATAAAAGGGGGAAAAGGGAAAAATGGAAAAAAGGGGAAAATGTGAAAAAAGGGGAAAAAGGGGAAAAATGGAAAAAAGGGAAAAGGAAGAAACGGGAAAAAAATGGAAAAAAGGGAAAAAGGAAAAAGGGGAAAAGGGAAAAAAGGGGGAAATGGGGGGAAATGGGAAAAAAGGAAAAATGGAAAACGGGGGAAAGGAAAAAATGGAAAAAGGGGGAAAATGGAGAAAAAGGAAAAAAGGAAAAAGGAAAAAAGGAAAAAAGGAAAAAAGGAAAAAAGGAAAAAGGAAAAAAGGAAAAAAGGAAAAATGTAAAAAAGGCAAAGGAAAAGGGGAGGGAGGGACTCACCCAGCTGAGCCTTCACTTTCTTTTTCTCTGGAAGAGAAATTTGGGAATTTTGGCCCCAAAAATTCCCAATTCAGGAACCTCGGTCCCATTGAAAATTCGGATTTTTTTTCATTATTTGGAAGAGATGATTGAGTCCATGGAAATATCAAAATCTTTGAATTTCCTTCTGTTTAACGGATGAGATTGATCCAGTTCAGTCATTCATACATTTGAAAAATACGATTGCAAATTTTTTTTGCATTTTAATTTTTTTTTTTAAATTTTAACTTGAGCAAAAAGACATTTGTAAAAAAAAAAAAAAAAGCCCAAACATAGATTTGATAATTTATTTTTTATCGTTTTATTCTTTAGATTTTATTTTATTTTAAATGGTAAGAAAATAGAAATCAGAGCAGAATTCTACTCGGAAAATATCGGTAATTTAATTTTTTTTTTTTTTTTCAATTAGGGCATTTTTAAATTGTAAGTTTTCAACTGATTAAAAATTTAAAAATTAAGTGAAATTTAATGATGTTAAAAAAATTAGCGACTCGATCAAGTGTGAGAAAAATTAGTAAATTTTAGAATTTTTAAAATGTCAATTTTTAAACGCGAAATAATTCTAATTATAACAAAAAATCATTTCAAACGCGGAGAATTTTGGATTTTTACCTTCCTCCATTTGCAGCTTTGCCTTTTCTGGAAAATCGAGAAACTTTTAAAATTTTAAAATTTGTGACATTGTTAAACTAATTATTTATATTTATATTTATATTTACATTTACATTTACATTTACATTTACATTTATATTTATATTTATATTTATACTTATATTTATATTTATATTTATATCTATATCTATAATTATAATCAGAATTATATTTATAATTATATTTATAATTATATTTATATTTATATTTATATTTATATTTATATTTATTATTTATATATTTATTAATATTAACTATATTTTGTATTTATATTCAATTTCTAGCTAATAGTTACTATTTAATATCAATGCCTTAATTTACATATTCAGTCTCATTAATAAAACTATTTAATAAAACAATTAAATAATATTTCATGTCTTTCATTAATTACCTTTAATTTGAATTAATTTGGAAATGAATGCATTTAATTTTTTAAAGATTTTTTAGTATTTTGTGTGTCTGTGTATTTATATGTTAATATTTAATAAAACCTGGAATTTCTTATTTTATATTGAATATTTTCAAGATTTTCTGGTATCTTCTATTTCTATATCAATTTTAGTAATATTTAATACAATTTCTGTTATTTTCTAATTAATATTTTTTATTAGCAAAAGAAATTTTTTATATTTAATTTTTCACCTTTTGAGACCCAATTTTAATTTTTTCGGAATTTCATTCCATATATTCCTAATTTTTAAATTCGCTCCGTTATAACAATACTGAAAAATAAATCATTAAAGTAAAAATGATTAAATGGCAAAGCAAAAATAATTAAATCAAAATTAATAATTAATAATAATTAATAAT